GGGAGAAAGAGCAGTGGAGCGGGCAGGGAGGTCCTAAGGGAGCAGGCGTTGGCAGGACCTGGTGACTGATTGGACATGGTGTGAGCGAGAGGGCAGCATTTCAGCTGACTTCAGGATGCCAACTGTTCCCAAATTGGGATAAAGGCATTTCCCAGGACATGGGATTGTCAGTGCAAAGCCAGGGAAGGTTCTGGACAAACCAAGGTGAGTGGTCACTAGCTGACACTCAGGTTTCTAGCTGGGGCACCTTTGTGGGTGGTGAGACCTGGAGCATTGGAGCGGACTTGGTGGTGTGGGAAAGTGATGCACCCAGTTTTAGGCATATTGTGAAATATCCCAGGTAGAGACGCCCTGCAGGCAGTTGGTAGAAACTCGGGGCTCAGGAGAGAGGTGAAGGTGCAGACAAAGACTTAGGAGACACACAGGACGCTGCCTCTGCTTGTTGCAAACATCGGAGACCACCGGTAGGTGTCCTGAGTCCATCTCCTGAGTTTCCCATCCTATCCTGCAGATTCAGATGTGGGGCAGCCTTCCTGAGGTCTCTGCCGAAGGCCTAGGGAAGAGGTCAGGCACTATCTAGGGCGAATTGTAAGCACTAGGGTAAAACCACAAGGCGCCCACAGACACATGTGCCAGCATGAATAAACCCACCTGCCTGGTAAATGGTAGAATTTTTTTTTTTCTTTGTATATGACTACATTTGGTTGTATTCATTTTTACCATGTAGCATTATAAAAATACACATTTATATCTAAATAGGCTTGCAAAAATTGTTACCTTAGATGAGTCATGATCTTTACTAGACGGGGAGTAACACTGAATGTATTTCTAAAACTGCTTATCTATGTCCTAGGAGATTCTTAGGTTTTAGACGATGGACCTAACTTTAGTATTTTTAAAAATTAATCTGGTTGCATACATTATGTGTTAACACATTATGTGTTAATATTTTATAGAAACATTTTTTTTTTAAAAAAAATAGTTGTGAGAGGAATTATTTTTCTATACGTTAACACACTATGTGTTAATATTTTCTAGAAACATACTTTTTTAAAAAAATAGTTGTTAGAGGAATTATTTTTCTATAGCACTGCTAAGGAGAACAGAATATAAAAACATGTAACAAATAATGGTCTATGAAAAAGAAGTACCTGACAAATAAAAATGGTCTGAAAGATTATTATAAGCCTTTTCGGTAATTTATTAAGTTTTTGTAGATATATTAAATCATTAATAAAGCAGAAACAGGAGATTGCTGACATGTTGAATCTCCCATTCTTCAAATGGAATGGAATTTTTCCTCCAAAGGCTTAAGAGGTAAATAGTTAATTTTTTTTTCCTGGAAATTCCATTTGAGCATGACCTTGAGCTCATCCTGGAGTAAAAAATAAAAAAATCCACTCAGACCAAGGATCTAAGTAACTTTCTGTGAAGGTCTCTTGGTTCTAATTTGGGTCGCACTTAGATGTGAAGGAAAGCTACTTCTTGCCAACTCCATCAATTTGGGATAAATGCATCTAATGATGATACTTCTGGGGCTGAAAAGGGTGCCAAAATATTCGTGTATGAGAAGATATGTGGCCATTTCAACTTTCCAAGACCAAAAGTATAACCCAAGGTCAATAATCAGTCTACAGATTATGGACAGTTATGAAGAATGCAAATACCAGATGGCAAGCCTCTCCTTTCTATAGGCACGTGGCTTAAAAAAAACAAGTTCCATTTATTGAAGAGACTGTCTTCAAGAAATGGTGTTGGAAAAATTGGACAGATACATGCAAAAAAAAGAAGCCAGACCACCTTCTGATACTGTATACAAGAATAGACTCAACATGGATTAAAGACAAATTTAAGACCTGAAACCATAAAACTTCTAGAAGAAAACATTGGCAGTAAACTCTCTGATATTACTAACAGGAATTTCTTTTCAGATATATCTCCCTGGGCAAGGGAAACAAAAGAAAAAATAAACAAATGAGACTACATCAAACTAAAAAGGTTTTGTACAGCAAAGGAAACCATCAACAAAACAAAAAGACAACTGACTGATTGGGAGAAGATATTTGCTAATGATACATCTGATAAGGGGTTAATATCCGAAATATATAAAGAACTCATACAACTCGACAACAAAAAAGCCCCAAACAATCCAATAAAAAAAATGGGCAGAAGACCTGAACAGATACTTCTCCAAAGAGGAAATAGAGATGGCTAACAGACATATGAAAAGATGCTCAAGGTCACTAATTATCAGAAAAATTCAAATTAAAACCACAAAGAGATATTACCTCACACCTGTCAGAATGGCTATCATCAATAAATCAAAAAACAAGTGTTGGCGAGGATGAGGAGAAAAGGGAACCCTCACACATTGTTGGTGGGATTGCAAATTGGTACAGCCGCTATCGAAAACAGTATGGAAGTTCCTCAAAAAATTAAAAGGGGATA